TGGACGAAAACAACAAAGTTTTCATACACGATGGCGCTTTATCTTATGCAGCAGGAAGGACTCCAGAATAGTATTTCCAAAAGGGATTAAATGATTCTCATGACTTATTAGTTATTTCGACATCATTGAGTATCGTGAAATAAATTTTTTTTTTTAATATTGAACAAGATTTTTTTAACGTTTTCAATTAATCCTGTTTGGATATTCCCACGAGAGAAGATTAGAGTATAAGTAAATAAGCACTGCAGCATATGTTGTTGTCAAAAGTTAATACTCCATAAACAATTACTCAGTTCATAAGACTTATTTTTAAATTTTAAATGAAAATCTTTAAATCGCTAGTTTGACACGTACGCCGTATAATTTACAGCAATTTAAAAATATATGAAATACCGGCTTCAGTTAGATTGCATTTGAAACTTATGTTTTTAATTAACGACTGTTCACTCGTGAAATCTCTTAAATAGAACCTGTTGTATGGCAGGTATGTTCTATAATACATATATATCATATAGGTGCTATAATCTGTTCTAAAAACTTAATTTCGAACAAGTTTTATGAACCTGTCTATATTTCTATAGGAATATATGACTATTCGATATATTTCTATAGAAACTGTTTTCTGTTATAACCTCTTCAATGAACTTTGTTATAAAACCTGTTCTATGGCTGTTATTTTCTATATATAACCGGTTCTGTGAATTTTGTTATGGATGATGTTCTATGAACCTGTTATATATATTTCTATAGAAACATATACATGCTTTATATATTTCTCTATAACCATGATTATCTATAATTATGCCTATTTATCTATTTCCCCACTCTCCCTTTTTCTCTCTCTCTGTATCTCTCTCTCTCTCTCTCTCTCTATATATATATATATATATATATATATATATATATATATATATATATATATATATATATATATATATATATACAGCAGTAGAGTCCGGCGTTGCCCGGGCATGTAACAGTAAGAGTTAGGGGACGGCTGTTGCTTTGAAAGATGTGCTTTGTAAGTCGACAGGAACTAAGTTTCTACAAAACGTTGAAACACAAAGTTTAAGCAGGCATCATGCAGGCCCAAGTATTTGAAGGTATCGAAGGAAGTAACAGAAAGCCGTTGTAGCATCAGTCATTTGCCATTACTAAGACATCTGGGAGTAAAAGCTGGCAGCAGTTACTGCTTTAACCAATTGGACCGTTAAGCATTACTGGAAGCACTTGTGGTAAGTAGTCAAGAAACCACGCTCCAGTTGCAACATACCTAGGGATTGAAGGGAAAACGTGCCGTGAGGAAGCCATAGACATAAAGTATGTGCCGTGCGCAATCAAAAACAAACCGCTTGTCTAACTAAAAGACGCGTCTTATGCCCAAAAGACGGCGCTGCCACGACCACAAAGCAGAACCGTAAAACCGAGAGAAGAGCGAACAGTGACGGGGTGTCATAGTAAGAAAATTTCTGTGATATAACTTCCTTCATTCTGATCTGTCACTATCTACATCGCGTCTGAGAGCCCTTAAAACCGCAACGGGGGAGCATCGTAATTGCAATGGAGAAGTGCCATCTCTTCAGTCGCAGTCAATATCACGCTGAGAGCTCATGGAACCGGACCGGGGTCGCCGTACGGTCGAGCGCCTCAATTGCAATGAAAAAGTGCCTTCTCTTCAGTCGCAGTTACGGCTGAGAGCTCATGAAACCGGACCGGGGTCGCCGTACGGCCGAGCGCCTCGATGGCAATGGAGAAGTGCCTTCTCTTCAGTGGCAGTCAACATTACCGATGAGAGATTATGAAAACCGACTGGGGGTCGTCGTACTTGGCGTGTGTTTTTAGGTCTTTTTACACGACTACAAACAAAACAATAGAGCCGTATGGCTGACATGTTTCTCCCATGGCAACCGTAAAGTGTATATGGAAGCAGAAGCCTGAATTTCGTAGACGCACTCGACTTTTGTGACAATTAAACGAACTCTGAAGCTTCTCAAGTGCGAATGTGCTTGTATGCACTGGTACGAACTGCAGGTGCTCCGATCAACTGTTAATGAAACCGGAACCTTAGTGGAGCAATCATGTCTAAAGCCGGTGTTCATGTGTCTAGCAGCTTGTGTTGCAACTGAATACGGTGAAGTTATCTTAGTGAACAAACAAACGCGATGATGGCGGGTGAAAGTATGAAAGTCAGAAGGCAGCAAAAGAGCTGGATAACCTTTACAAAGATGTCTTACTAATAGCAAGTGGAGACCACGACGACCTAACGTTAAAACCAATATGACAAACAAAAAAATTGCCATGCAATCGGACTGCATATGTGTGCATGGCGCTTAAACGCTACTGGGCGTGTTGTCTACAGGACCTCCGTGTAGATTATGTTTCTAGCACAGTTGTTGGGAGAGTAAATGAAAACCCTGTTCTTAGACCCAACTCGTGAGCACCCAACGTAAAGTTAGCTGTGAGAGAAGCACTGCTCACGTAAATTCAGACCTGCGATGCTAAGTGTCTGTACTTGTGATTTGTTAATGGACATAGCATAGCAAAGCAAAGCTTCACGGGAAATTGTGAGCGACGAAAGTTGATTGGTATGCTTGCGTCTGACGGCAGAAGATGCATCCTGGGAATCAGAACGACTTCCCCCTTGCCGCAGCCAGTTGCAATGGTCGCCTCAATCAGGTTCGGAGAAAGGGATTTAATAATGAGGCGAGTCCTGTTGCACTGTTTAGGTGGGAGCAAATTCCTGATTAGCATAATCGGAGCACCAACTTTGAGCCGAAGAATATGAGGTGGGAGTCCGGACGGCTGAAGGGAGTTCAAAACTTCTATGGGATACTCAGCTAATTCAGATGGATCGGAAGTTCTGTCGATGGACTTATAAACATGACATTGCCCGGGAATACAATCCAACAGTTTAAGGTTGATGGAATCAACTGTACAGTTCTTCGGTGCCAATATGGACCTCCCAGCAAGCCAATCGGCATCGGCAAAATTAGTGGATAGGTTGTAGAAGACTGCATTCATCAATTCATCCGGTGATTCAACAGTGGTGGCAAGCTGATCCATCTGCACAAAACCCTGTGTGTCAGATGGCATTTTCCTCACCCCAAGAGCAAGAAGGTCCCGTGCGAAGTCAACGGATCTGGAGTCCCCATTCATGTAGGCACGCATGTTCGTGCTCAGTTTAAGAGTCTCCACGTGGCGCCAAATGGGCAGACGACTTCAGGCAGGTGCGGACAGCGTCAGCGCGTGTACCTTTAGGAATAACAGGTAGAGTCTGCCTAAAGTCGCCTGCGAGGAGAAGGGTTACTCCACCCATGGGGTCGGAGGAGTCGTGGATGTCTTGGAGACTTCGGTCAAGTGCCTCAAAGGCGTCCTTGTGTGTCATCGTGCACTCATCCCAAGTTTGTGACCGGCATAGATCAAGCGGCAACCTAAAAGCCGAATGAGCGGTTCTACCCCCCGGTAGCAACGTTGCAGTAATCCTGGAAGATGCGACAACAAAAGTTTTGCCAGTTCCTCCGGGCGCATCTAAAAAGTATATACCTCCACTGGAGCCGTTTGCCCTGTCTGTTATGGTAGTGAAATCAACCCTCTGATCAGGTAGAATTTTGGGCTCGTTTTCGGTAATGTATGCGTTCAGCCCCTCGGTGGAGTAGTATGTTTCTCGCAATAACTCAGTTATTATAGTGTCAAAACCGTCTCTGAGTGGTGGTGGTAAACCGTAAGTTGGTAAAGAGGTACCTCCTAGTTCAAAAACAACTTCTAGGACCACCAGCGCTCTGTTGAATATGAAGCCAGTGAAACCGCATTCAACTCCTGGGCTGTTACGCTGAACGGAGAATAGCACTTCCTCTGACATGAATTCTCTGTACTTTAGCCAGAGCGACAGAAGATCTCTTAGTGCAAAATGGCGAACAGCGTTCGAAGCCGTGATGGCATTCTGAGAAGTTCACCCTACGCCGTGGCTGCATCCCATTGGGAGTCGTCTTCAAGCAATCCCAAACGGGAGCATGCCTCTCTATAAGACTGGCACTTCATGCCGTTGACAGTGCGAATATCTGTGAAACTCGTTGACCCAGCAATTTCATGAAGTAGAAAGCGGAGGTAAAAGCACTCCTGCTGGTTGGTGGGGGGCAGTATAAACGCGTCCAAGACAAGAGTTAGACCTTACATCGGGATAACCCTCGACAGGGTCGCCAGTCTTTCGCCGAACCTACCGGTTGTTTGACCACACGTAGTAGGACGGGACTTGGGGGTATATCAATGTTTTGGCAAAAGCATCTGTTGAGCATAATTTAAAGAAAGCCGTTAGGGTTGTGTCTTTAGGGTTTTCCGCAACCTGCTGTTTTGTTCGGTGAAGTACATCCTCTGTCCATTTTCAAAGTGAACAGCAAGCTGCACAATGGCTGGAGCCCTTTGGTGTATGGGGAATCCGAAAATTCGCCAAAAGGCCTCGCTACTGCTGAGGTAGCGTCCAGCTACGTAAAAAGCCACCCCGTCAACGAAATTGCCACGCCGGATACTGAAAACGACAACATCGCTGCCTTTATTAACGTACTTGCAGATGTACTTTATTGACTTAACCGAGTGGCAGTATTCAACGTTTATGTGGGCTCCAAAAGTCTTGGACAGCAGGGGGCATTAAGGCACCACCCAACGATTGTCCAGAGTGTGCCCCTTAACTGTCACAGTACTGCCGCTTCTACGTCTGTACAGTGGGTAACCATCCGTCGCAGTCTGCGTTTCTGAGATAAACTTACGCTTGACCAGCCTGACCTTTTTTTCGTAATTCGCGCCAAAGGGGTCGTGTATCATATTGTTTTTTAATGATTTTTAATGATTTCGTGGAGCAAAGGATCCAGCGCAGGATTCGGAATTTCAGCAGAAATAAAATCGTCTATTTTGTTTGCGTCAACCTTATCGTTGAGCCACAGCAGAATGTGGGCATGAGGCAAACCGCGTTTCTGCCATTCCACTGTATACATATGACACTTAACGCGTCAGAAGACTTGCCCTTTAAGGATTAAATCCATAAGCTTACACAGCTGTAACCGAAAAACGCGAGCAATTAAGTCAGGGCGGTGTGAGTACTGCTGACCTGGAAAAAGTTCGCGTGTGATTTCAACCCATTTCGGATTGCACGTGAACGTGACGAACAAATCAGGCCTCCCGTAATGACGGACATAAGTCATTGCGTCTGGTGTCCTTTCATGCATGTATCGAGGGCCACCAGTGTAACAGGAAGGCAAAATGCACAGTTTGCCGAGATTGCGTGGGTCAACATCAGAAGGCAGACCATCACGAAGGTGAATGTAGGAGTCTGTTATAAGTTTGGATGAGTTTAACTTGATGAATCCTAACCTCTCCGACACCATTTTTGCAGCCATGTCAACAGCGAATTGAAGAAATAGTTGACGGCACTTGTACAAGTGGTTAAATTCACCCTCCCTAACCATAAACATGTAGGCGTAGTAAGCCCTACAGGAGACCGTCTTTGAGGTCGACATGGAATCGCTGCTTGCCTGGTATATTGGGATTTTGAAGTGGTACCCATCGCTTCCGTATGGAAAAAGAAGGGAGTACAGGAGACAGTCGTATGAACGTTGGGTTTCACTGATGCGGCGCAGACCACCGCCCCGGTACCTTATGACAATGTCACGGCTTTATGCTCCTCACCGTGAATGACTGCGACGACTTCATTACATACAGGAGCATTGAAGCGACGCTTATGCTCACCATGAGGCCGTCTGTCTGCATCGATGACAACGCTGAAAGAGGGCGAAGAGTTGTTTTGCAACGCAAACTTTAAGCTTCGGATGTAACTGTTAGTTTCGTGAAGCATGTCTTGTAGAAGGAACAGAATGTCTCTACGGGGACCGACGGAAATATCGCTAGGCAGAATGCCGAGACGCGCATCAACCTGCTCGTTGTAGTCAGCGAGAAAGTAAATTTGTAGGAACTGAGGTGGCTCTCTCTGATCAGCCAAAAGTGATCCCATTAAGTGGTAAACCTGGCCTTGCACTTTGAAAGTAGGCATCCATCCCCCCTCACTGATAGCCTTCGCACCAAAAGACGTCATCTGGAAGCAACAGTTGTACTTCCGTATTGCTTCAAGAAAATGCGTTGACTCCAAAGTTGTACCCAGAAGGAGGTCCCTAAGCGGCTAGAGAGGTTCGTCTAAAGAAGGGAGTTTGATTTTGCCCCCAGAGCAACAAAGCCCAGGTTGCTCACCGGCCTACTTTTTTGCGTTGCAAAAAGTGCAAACTTTATTCATGGCTCCTATTTGTACGTCTCTTCTAGCGGAAAAGTTGACAGTGCAGTCATAATTGTATGCGGCATTTGATCAAAATGACGCAGACGGCGAAGTTACGTAATTCAAAAAAGCTCGAAGTTGGCTAATGTTTTCGAGCCGTTGAGGGCGTACTTCAGAGTTTTCTGCAGCCCTGGCAGACGCAGTAGAGCGGGCATTTCTAACGCGATGAACAGTGGTTTGTGCAGGGCTTTCTAGGTCTCTAGCAGATGCAGTAGAGCGGGCATTTCTAACGCGACGAACAGTGGTCTGTGAAGGGATTTCTAGGGCTCTAACAGATCTAGTGGAGCGGGCATTTCTAACGCGAGGAACAGTGGTCTGTGCAAGGCTTTCTAAGGCTCTGGCAGACGCGGTGGATAGGGCATTTCTAAAGCGACGATGAGTGGTTTCTTGGGGTTGTTCCGAAGCTCTAGAGGCGGCTGTAGCCCTAGTATTCCTAAGACGACGTGAAGTTGTTTGTTCGGGGCTTTGTAAACCCCTGGAGCAAGCTTTGGCGGTGGCTTCCCGCAAATGACGAAGGGTTTTCTGTGCTGGGGACTGTGAATCCCTCAACCTAGCCACGTGGACTGCGTCTTGTGAATTCTGAAGTGAACGTTCTTCAACTGCGGACATGGTTGAAGCCGCTGAAGCCAACCTTTCAGTCCGCGCAGCGGCGCTTTCTGTAGATAAGCGAGCAGCTGAGCTCGAGGCCATCCGTGAAAGACGCAAAGAAGTATGTTCAGGGCGCCGTTCCCAAAGTTTCCTCCTTTTAGGTGGCATCCAAACAGTAAAAACGTTAAAGAGGGTAAAGCTTAAAAAGCGATTTCGACAAATCCAAAACGAAAAAACGTGCACTGCTAACGTAGACACAAAAAGGGGAACACCCAGTAAAATGAGTTCAGATGTTACTAAAGGGGAACTGAAACTAAAAAAGTGGAAATTTAAAAAGGTAAACCAAGGGTAAATCCAAAAGGAAAATGGGTTTTTAGTACAATTGGCTAACGTGTGGGGGTTGGGTTGGAACTATAAAACAAAAAAGCAGTTAGAACACGTAATCAACAACTTGCGGGGACCGACAACAATAAACGCAAAAGTGTGAAAGCACGCCCGAGTCACGCAATAGAGGTGGTTTACTTTGAGCGCACTTACACATAAGCTGACGCGCGATCACGCGGGCGCTATAACGTGTGAGAAATCCTGCGCGATGAGTGGACAGGCACCAAGGTCAAGCTCTGTGAAAGCGACCAATGGGCTTGCAGCAGTCTCGGTATCGACACGCGGATTCGGTTGTACGCAGCTGTGTACAGTTACAAAAAAGATTGATCCGCGTGCAGCTACAGTTATTTTTGCCGAAAAATTCTGAAATTTGGCACACATAAAGGCGATAGTAAGCCGCAAGTGTGTTGTAAATTTCATTAGAATCAAACAAAAACTGTACATACTGTGCCAGTGAAAGTGTGTTCAGAGGGCTAAATCCTGTCCCTTGGTACCCCTGTTTATGGTTCCCTGGTCAAGCGGCTTTGACAGTCTTGCAAACAATTTGGTACTTGTTAGATAGCCAAGGGTTAGTGCTATCAGAAACTGGACCATTTGCTTTGTTTCAAATTGATTTCGTGCAAAAACCATTGTGTTTTTTCAATTTTTGGCGCTGTCAGAACCACCGCCGGGTAATATTACGTAGTCCTGTGAAGTTTTGTTGAAATCGGTTGAAAAATGTAGGAAATCTGATCCCATATATAAACGAACAGACGCACGCATACGCACACACACACATACACACACACACACACACAACCTGGGTTTTATAACAAGATATATATATATATATATATATATATATATATATATATATATATATATATATATTGTATAAGTTGAATAAGTCCGGTGACTTTTGTATGTATAGATATAAATATATATATATATATATATATATATATATATATATATATATATATATATATATATATAAAAAAATAGGGCGTAAGGCTAGGATGTATTCTCACCGGACTTATTCAACTTATACACCGAGGCAATTCTGAAGGAACTGGAGATCCTACGAGAGATTCATCATTGGCGGCCACAACCTTACCAATATAAGACACGCAGATGACACGGTACTGATAGCAGACGGAAAAGAAACTACAAAACCTCCTACAGAAGATAGCGAGGGAGAGCGAAAAGAAAGGACTAACCATGAACTACAAGGAGACAGAATACATGGTTATCAGTAAAAAGATGAGCCCAAAATGCGATTTGCAGGTCGGGGACACTAAAATCAAACATATGCGGAAGTTTAAGTATCTGGGAAGTGTTCTGATGGAGGACGGTAGTTGCGACGCTGAGATCCGAAGACGGATTGGGATGGCCAAAGATGCATTCCGGAAGTACTGCGGAACAGGAGGATTTCTATGGTGACAAAGAAAAAATACTGAGCTACTACGTGACATCTTTCCAACTATACGGCCGCGAATGTTGGACGGTATCCTCAAGAATAAAGAAGAGACTCGAGGCGGTGGAGACTTGGTTCTATAGGAGGATATCATGGGCTGAGCATGTGAGCAACGATGCGGTCTTGGAGAGGATGCAAACAAGAAGGAAGCCTATGCTTAACATAAGGAAGAGGCATATTAAATTTCTGAGACACGTGATGAGAAAGGAAGGCCTGGAGAATCTGGTACTCACAGGACGAATAGAGGCAGAAAGAGACAGGGGAAAGCAGCGCATGACATACGTGGCGGGCTTGGGCAGGTGGATGGTGGATCGTGGCCAGGGAGTGTTGGCAGAAACACAAAACCTGTTGAAAGCCACAAGGGATAGGGGGAAGTGGAGAGCCATGATCGACTATATCCTGAAAGGACACGGCACATAAAAAGAATAATATATATATATATATATATATATATATATATATATATATATATATATATATATATATATATATATATATCAATTCTATATATTTCTATATAACCTGTTCTATATTATAACCTGTTATATGAAGTTTGTTATAGGATCTCTTCTATAGTTGATATATGCTATAATGCATCAGTTTATCATAGAGAATTTATAACGCGTTCCATAAACTGTGTTATAGCCTGTTTTATGTACTTTGTTATCGAAGCTGTTCTCTAGCTGACATTTCTATCAACCATTAGTTTATTATAGAGACGTTAATAATTATTGTTTTTGATATCTTACTACCGATAATGCAATCCTTATTGATTAGCCCACTAAGCAACATTTCAGATCTGATAAATTAGTTTCTAGTAAAAGGAAATTTTTCAAAATGTATTATTATTCCTAATTTTAAAAATCAATGCTTGAAGTCTCAAGTCTTATTCGTTCCTTCAGGTTTCTTCAATTTTCTCTTTATACTAAATTGTCATATCATAACTTTTTTCATTATATTCATGACTTACATATTACAAAAATATTTCCCCAATTCCTTTACTGACTAAAATTCCTTTGATTAGATTTGAAATTCTTCTCTTGAAAACCAATTACCTTCCTCTGGGAATCACTGATAAAGACCGTTGTTTTTTACAATGTTGTTCAACCCGTAGAAAGTTCAAGAGCCCCTCGACGTACAGGGTTATAGAGTAAGAGATTTATCCTATTTGAAGAAGATAGCAGTTAGCTCTAGGTCTGAGCAGGTTAAAATTGTAGTGATCGGGGAAACATCTATTTAGGAGTCAGTTTCACAAAGTAGCGATTCGTGAGAGAAAGTTGCACCAGTGGAATACGAAGAGAATGAGGGTGGATCACTACAAAAATAGCCATTTTGTTTCTGGTACTATTTTGTTTATATTATAAATTTTTTTTTAAGTAATTATATCTGCTCTACTTTGTATTGAGCACTCTTTTAAGAATAGTAATTGTTGGTTATTGGAATTCATTCCGTATACACCAATTATATATATATATATATATATATATATATATATATATATATATATATATATATATATATATATTATGAAATGGGCAAAGTCCGACAATTATTTTAAGACATGTTTATGTTTTGTTAGAGAACTGGCAGTATGATATTAGCTATTAAGTTTTAACTTTGTATAAATTCAGTTATAAGCTATTAGAAAACAGAGAATTAATACTACCCTTTACTACTAACAATAATAAGGCTAAAAATATACAATTATATATGGTGTAACAGCAAAATTGTCCAAATCCTGTCACAGCATAATTGTTCATCCCACAAAATGTTAAATATCTATAAAAAAAAATCACTAAACTAATTGAGTTTCTTTTTTCCAGGTTTTCAGATAAGACGTTTAGTGATTTTGATACCATTTGTCGTAAGAATCACTGAAAAACATTTTGAGTTATTCAGCTAAAAAGAGAACAGGTTAAAATTGTTTTGCATTAATCCCACTGTCTTCTCAACTGAGCAATGGTGAGAAGAAAAATAATTCAGGCCTTCAGTAATGGTACCAACATTCATACTCTGTCTTCCATCTTAAAGTCCATTCAAGAACCATCAAGAGAACTGTGAATAAGTTTAAAAAAGAGGGAACAGTAGAGAGGAAAACTGGATCAGGAGGTTACAACAGGGAGAGGGATCATCCTTTCAACTTAGAGCTAAAGAGATCAATTAGAAAAGATCCAACTCAATCTATAAGACGTTTGGCACGTGAGGAAGGAGTTTCATCTGTGACAGTCCAAAGATCAGTGAAAGAAAACTTGAAAATGAAATCGTATGTGAAACCTGTGCTGCAACTTGTTACTGCAGGGCAGAAAGTTAGAAAGGGCAAAAATCATCTTGAATAAGTTGGAAAATGATCCTGAATAATATATATATATATATATATATATATATATATATATATATATATATATATATATATATTCGAGCTTAATTTCAATCTTTCATAAGCTTCTGATCCGTAGCTATGATTTTATCAATGATGAACATGTCATTTTCGTTTATGATCGATTGCATCACGATTCTTCTGTTAAGCTTGGAGAGTAATAATACATTCTTATTGCTCAAAGTAGTATAATAACCTCGGAGAATTCCAGTAAAATATTTTAACCATTTCTAAGATATAATGGTCCAAAGTTTAATCTAATAATTGGACAATTTTGTTGTTAAACCCGATATATATATATATATATATATATATATATATATATATATATATATATATATATATATATATATAAAAGTATGTCCAAAATTATCTGCACTTTTTGCCATAACATATCTTTAGGTTTATTACACTGTCTTCTGCTCATGCGTGCTTATAGTTGGTACTATTATGGTCATGTGATCGAAGTTTGACGTTGATCGCTCCAGGTTTCTTACTGCTGTTACATTTTAAACATGCCAGTTCTGCTAGCAGTGTATAACAAGGAGGTGATCAATAACAAGTGCATTGCGTACACACATCAGTCATTGCTCGAGCAGCGGTGAGGAAACGTGACGGTATCGAAGTAGCTCGTTTGGAGTTGTTTGCTTGTCCGCGGCCCTATCAAGTCGCCGAATACGTCAAGCCTTTTTGGAGAACACACCGCCAGGCATTGGTTCCAGAAGATCAGTCTATTATTATCAGTCATTTGTGGCCGGTCACAGGTCCTAAATAATGAGTCCTTGAAATGGTCATAGAGGATGGCAACAGTCAAACGTGTGATCATCTTCCCGAACGCTTCCAGGTTTCTGATGACACAGTATTACTTCACCTGCACCTCTTAGGGAAGGCGTACAAGTTAAGCAAGTGAGTACCCAACACACTGTCAGAAGCCAACAAGCAACAACTAGT